TTCTACCCTGAGGTTATTGATATATTCATGTTATTTTTATTGTCAGTAAAATAAGATTTCACCATATTACTACTGACTGCCAAATCCCCTTAAGATGACTTTTCTGCAGGCAAAATAATGTCCTGTTAATGGCCTAGACTTGCATTTTGTGGACTTCTGGAGCCCACTTGCTTTAAATGCCAGAGAACCAAGGAACTCTGCATTCCTTAAAAGTGTTAAGTTTTTCAAAGGCCAGTGTAGAGTTCTGGAAGTAGATCACACTTAGATCACTCTCTTGGCCACATTGCATTTGGTATTTTGTTCATATGAAACCTTGTTTAGCAGCATGCAGACCTCTACGCACCGGATGCCAGTAGTAGCCCTCCCACCTCAACCCAATTGTGGCAACCACCAATACCTCCATCCTGCCAAATATTCCCTGGATAGCAAAATCATTTCTAGTTTAGAACAACTGGACAAAGCATAAAAGGTATACTCCTTACGCACGTAATGCTATGTGAATTTTGGCAAAGAAATATCTCTCAAGAGAGTAAACTATTCCCAGGAAAATAGTTTAAGAAATTCATTCCCAGTTTTCCATAATAGTATTTGCAAGGCACACCGCATATATTCCCAGATACAAAACATTAAGGCACCCTTTTGGAATTACCTTAGCTTTGTTATTATGGCTGAAAAATTCTGTCAGTTTTCTTTTCCCTGGTCTCTAGAACACAGTACTTATGCTTGAAGTATTTATTTGAATGTTCCTTTTCTGCATGTTCTTTTTTTTTAATGTGATGGCCATGTGAAAGTGTTTTTAACTTACAATGGATACACGGCAGGGACTGAGAAAAAAAAAAAAGATTGGGAAATTCATTCTGCAGTTCTCTCTTTGAATTCTGGCTCTGTGCATTTTCTTTAGCAATGGAATCTAAGCTTCAGATGCAATAACAGCCTCTCTTGTTATGGTTTAAATAAGGGTTTCCTGTATACTCTTCCATTTTATGTTTGGACTTGGAAAGAGCTTATTCCAGAATACCAGAAATAGGGGATCAAGATGATGTGCTGAGTCCATTCTACCCACTTTATTTTCTGTTCTAAATGACGCTCTGACGTGAATAGCTGTATTGGAACTTGCTGGGAAGTGTGAAATGTCATTTTGTTTGATGGATAGGATTAGAGCAGATAGAACAAAATGCATTAAATTTTCCCCCTAGGGTTTCTTTTGTTAGTATCAGTTTATTTGGCTGATTTCTTTATGTTTCTGCTCTCTGATTTTCCCATAAAATGTCCTGTAACTCTGCCTGTCAATCCAATCCTTACTGCTTTCCTTTTTAATACTCCAATTGGTGCATTTCACAAAATAAATCAGCCATGCTAAAATGTGATGCACGATTCGCTCTGTTGGTGTAAGAGGCTAAAACTGGGTTTTTAACAGAAGTTAAACCACTGCATGGTGAATGAGGAGGACCGTTTGTGGAGTGGTCAAAGGTGCCTGTCATGTCATTATGAGCCCCAAGTAAGTCTTTCTGTTCATTGCCTCAAAAATAAGATCTGTCAAAGATAAGATGTAAAGGGGAGTTTCTAATGCAAACCATGCATTTTATAGAAAAGGACTGTTTTCCCTAGTTGCTAATACCTGTGCATGCTAGGAAGCAGGTATCAGTCCAGCTTCCCCTGAGTATTTACAAATATGCAATGTTGGCCTATCTTCTCTGAGTTCTCACCCCTAGGCACTCATCTTCTCTGCACCCACCATCTTGGTAGTGACCATCCTATACTGTAACTGCTTAAACTGCTCTGCATTCATTCATTCAACTATAGTTGTCAAGCATCTGTTATGTCCCAGGCTCTGTTCTAGACAACACAGCCAATGTATTCAACTCTCCTGAAGCTGGTGTTCTGAAAGGAAAAATAACCAACAATTACATTGTATTAGTCAGCTTGGCTGCCATTGCAAAATACCATTGATTGGATGGCTTTAAACCACAGAAATGTATTTTCTCATGATTCTAAAAGCTAGAAGGCCAATATCAAGGTTTGGCCAATTCAGTTGCTGGTGAGTATTTCTGGTGAGGACTCTCCCTGGCTTGCTGGCATCTGCCTTCTCACTGCCTCCGCACGTGGCCTTTCCTCTGGGTATGGAGAGAGCGAGCAAGCTCTGTAGTGTTTCTTCCTGTAAGAATACTAATTCTGTTGAATCTGGGCCCCATTCGCAGGAGCTCCTCTAACCTTCCATTCTTCCTTAGAGCCTCCATCCTCAAAGACAGGCACACTGGCATTAGGGGTTTAACATACACATTTTAGAGGGTTATCAACATGAATCCATACATACATAAATAAATTTTTTTTTAAACTCTGTTAGATAGTGATAAGAGCAATGGAAAAAAATAAAGGTAAGAAATAGAGATCAAAAAGAGGTGATGGTTGCTACTTTAGCAACAGGGCTCTCTAAAGAAGGAAATGTTGAATGAGACCAATAATGAGAAAGAGGTAACCATAGAAAGATGTGGGAGAATTAACATCCTAAGTAGAATTATGAGTTCAGTGGCCCAAGGGGGGAGTGAGAATGTAGGGATCATGTGACAGAAGAACATCTGTGTGGTTGGAACCTAGTTGGCTGGGGGCAGAGGCATAGGAGAAAATACTAGAGAGGTGGGCAGTGACCAAATTGTACCAGCCAATACTGGGAATTCAAATTTCATTCTCATTGCAATGGAAAACCACTGGTGGGGGTGAGGGGGTTTAGGCTGAATGATGTACAGATAAGAAACAATTTAAGTGGCTAAATAAGGAATTCTAAGTAGTTGTTTAGAGTCTTGCCCATCTTTGGTGCACATTGTCAATGCTCAATACATTCTTTAAAGTGAAAAGGATGGATGTTTTTGTAACTGTAGTGTAGTAATTGACCTTTTATAAAGTCAGGTTTATGAGGTATAATTTACATGAAGTATATATTCACTTTTTATAGCATACAATTCTCTGAGTTCTGACAAACATGCAGTCATGCAACTAGGAAACAATCAAGATATAGAACAATGACATCACTTCCCAAAATTGTCTCATGCATCATTGTAGTTAACGCTTTTTCCAATCCCAGTGTTTGGTGTCCATTGACCTTTGCTGTCTTTGTAGTTTTGCATTTTCCAAACTGTGATATAAATGGAATAATAAATACAGAGTCTTTTGAGTCTGAATTCTTTCTTTCCTTTAGCATAAATAATTCACTTAAGATTCATCCTATTAAATGCATCAGTTATTTCCTTTTTATTGCTTAGTAGTATTTCAGTGTATGGATGTACAACTGTTTGTCAATGAGTTGAAGGATATTCAGCTTGTTTCCAGTCTTGGGCAAGTGTCAATAAAATGACTATAAACATTTGCGCCAAGGTGTTTGTGTAAACATAAGTTCTTATCTTCCATTAATGTCTACCACTGGAATGGTCAGGTTATATGGTATGTGTATGTTTAACTTTATAAGACACTGTCAAAGCTGTTTCCAAAATGGCTATATCATTCTGCCCCAGCAATGAATGTGAGTTCCACTTTCTCTGAATACTTGTCCATTCTATGATTGTCATTTTAAAAAACATTTGGCCATTCTAGTAGGTGTGTAGTCACTACCTTTTTAAAAACTATATATTAATAAATTTAAAGGTCTGGTGAATATGAATAGTAAGGATGTAATGTGAAATGGAGTAGTTTTTTTCAGTTAGATTTTTTTTTAAAACCGAAAGAGTATGACCTTATAATCTTAGGTAAGAGCCAGGTAAAGTAAATTTAATACTTTAGCTCCCAGTCTCCAATGTTTCCTTGAAGACCTTTATAGAATCTAAGCTTAAAGAACTTACTCCTTGAATACTGGAAACCCTGAAATCTAGCCCTCCTACTTTCGTGGGAGTCCTCTGGGATGCTTCTTTACCAAGGTTACCCATGAGATTCTCTCTTCAAAATATCAGTGACTCCTGGGGAGTCATGCAGCTTTTAACTCCAAGCTTAATCATACCATTAAAAAAAAATGTAGTAGTTGACTTTTGCTAAGAGTATGGAAAAGTGAAATAATGATTCCATCATTCCTGATACACATTTTTCTAATCTATCCTCACATCAGCGAAATACTCCATAGCAGATGACCTGATTTTGTGTGTTCTGTGACTGGCTCCCCTACCTTTTCACTTACCAGTGAGACATGAAGGAAGAACTGTGATTTAGTGAACTGAGGCATTTGACCATTAGGTAACTTGTGGACTCTGGGGTGCAGTCTGAGCAGAGATGGGTATGTCCCTGATTTCAGTACCTAGAAGCTACCCTTTACAACGCTCTAGAAACTATAATCTCTCCTCTGATTTGTGAAGCCCTGACTTTGCGCCCAGTGTTATTCCATGATTGTCCAGCGAAGGCCCTGGAGTAGAAAACTTCCTCAGGAAACGTACTTTTTAGTCTACAGGAATATATCACATAGGTCTAGAATCTTCACCAATGCCTTGACTAAATCCAGAAAGTATTTCTATCCCTACCTAGACAAAAATTGTCTGCTTTCTTTTTTTCACGGAGAAAGTATTTAACTTAGTTTCTGCAAGAGGGAATGGACTCAGGCCTAGCTTACCCAGGCCTCTCTAGAAGCAGCTATTTCCTGAATGAAGAGGCAGATGCAATCTGGGTCTGCATAACATCAGCCACCTCTATAAAGCCTGGTGCTCTCATTTCGCCTTTCTTTTAACGAGCTTTAGAATGGCAATAGCTTTTCTCCCCCTGTTGGTTAGACATACTATTACATTCACCTGTCATAAGAGAGATTTTGTGTGGCCAATTTTATATGACTCAAAGCTGTCATTTTGTTCAGAACAATTTATTTCTGTAAGTGGAATCAAATACTATAAATCTCCTGGCACTCCTGTTAACAGGTGGTGGAAAAGCATGCGGGTGAAACTCTGACTTTCCCAGAGGTGCTTGGTACCTTTGATTAGCAGTCAGGCGTGCAGCAGCCTCATGAATCTTCTTTTTTTGTTTTCTGTTTGCAGATTTTATTCTTCACCGTACAGTATTGCAACCAACCGCATGATTCCACAGACATCTATCACGCCATTCATTGCTGCTTCCCCTGTCTCCACATACCAGGTATGTCTAATTTACCTGCACCTCAGGAGAGATCTTTCTTGCAGATAATAGACTATGTAAAGGCCAAAAGGACACAATAGAATTTTTTTGGAACCTCACCCTCAAACACTTTAGGCACATCCTGATGCAAAATATTCACGTTCAATTAGCCTATACTTTCAAGGGCCTCCCTTTCCCTGAGTAATACAATCCACCAGGCTTTTCATTCTTCCCGCCAAGCTCTTATGGTGATGCTACTTTCCAGCCAACACTAGTACAGTTCTCTTACCCCTGAGAAATTGTTTTGTTTGTTGTCTGTTGTTTTGGTTATCATGTTCCCTGTTGTGTCTGTTCTGCAAGCACACTTCTAGCCTTCCCTTTGCTCACTCCAGGATATTTTATCACTGTCATCTCATTTCGTCACTGTTGTCCTGTGTGTCCATGGAAAGCTACATGGATAGATGTTAAGTCATTTTTTTCCCCCAAGAAATAGGGAAGGTTAGCAAAGTGGTAAAAAGGTTTTCTTACATCATGCTTTTATTTCATTCTCAGTTCCAAAGAGGCCAAAAGAGACCTCAGGGGTTCCACATGTGGAAACACAGAAAGTCTAAGACTCAGTGTGTGTCCTAAACCAGATGTTGCAGCCAGGCAATTCTAAGTACACAGGTGGATTGATATAGTCATACTTCCCCTGGAAAAGCTACTCATCTTATTCCTTTTAGTTATCTAATATGTGGTATTACTCCCCATTTCTCTTTACTTCATATTGTTCTTCGGACAGTACTTCTAATCCTAATTAGAGAATGCCTATAAATGATACATATGGAGAATGTCTAGTGTCATTTTTCAAAACTATGGAGAGAGAAAGAGTGAAAGCAAGAGAGAGAAAGCAAATGCGTGCATGCATGAGATCCTCTATATTTTGTAGATGGTGGGGTGGATGTTTTACAATGGGGAAAAGTGTAATGTTGCTGACTGCGACTAATTCAGTGAAGTTTCACCATATTCAGTCACTACATACTTCATTTCAGGATGTCCAAGCTGTCAGAGCATCACACTTAATACTGTACATTTTCCCTTAACCGATTCCCCCTGAAGCAGATCATTTTCATTCTTTTTCTGCACTTAGATTCTTGATACATGTCAGTGGATGAACAGAACAGACTTCTGTGTGAATTGCATTAGAGGGTCTCCAAACGGCTGATTTCTTAATTGCCTTTTTCCGTGGGACCCAGGAGGCTACGTGCAGGTGCTAGTCAGCCTTTATTTTTCCTGCAGGCCTGCCTGGTTGTAATGTGTGTTTTAGATTTTTACCCATTTTTTTTTTCATCTTGGCATTTGTGTCAGCCAAGACCACCCACAGAGCCCCAGTGTAGAACACTTTGGTGACATGAATAAAAGTGATTTCACTTGGGAGGGAAACTAAGTGGAACTTAACTCCAGCTCCTTTTCTCAAGAAAGGAATTTTCTCTGTTGTTGATTCTTGCCTTTCACCACTTTTTTTTTTAAATTAAGTGCATTGGCAATTTCATTGATGTTAAGTATAGTGAAAACAAAATCTTCAAGGTTCTCCATATGACAATCAGCTCTTTCAAGCTGATGTTCTCATTTGGGTGACAAGGCGCCTTTCAGAACAGTTGGCTGGCTCAAATACTCATTCCTATTTGCCATCCGAACTGCCATGAGAGAAAAAAGATCACAAACTTGCTTACCTTGGGTTTAACCTAAAGCAGTCTCCAAAATTTCTGATTGATTGTTAATTCTTACCCCAACGTTCACCATTTGGATTTATTTCCAAGATGGGATCACTTGAGAATTTGAAGTTAGAAGAAGAGGAAGTCTTTGCAGTCCACTCTTGCCTCCTTCATTATTTGCCTGGGGATCTTTGAAAGGTAGCCTCAAAACAGGAGCTCGTCAAGGCCTCCTAAGACTTCAGTTTCCAAACTCAACCTCAAAATATGCTCCAAGGCCAACCTGCTCCATGTGGCCGCTGCAGCCTGTGGCAGTGACACAGGAATTTGCTTTCTATTTTAAAATGTTTCAGGTACCAAATTAATCAGGTCCAAGAATTTCCTTTCTATCCTTAGTTTTGAGCACTAAAGTCAGATGGACTCCACTTTCTTTTGACCTAGCGTGACTCCACTGAACGCAAGAACCAAGTTCTCTCTGTGATTGCTTTGTGCTAATAAATGCTGTTTGATGCATAGGTCCAGAGTACTTCATGGATGCCTCATCCGCCATACGTTATGCAACCAACAGTAAGTGTTCTCAGTCACCTGAGGCTAAATATTTCTATTATCCAAGTGCAAGCTTTCGGAATGCATAGAAGCTTTGGGGTAAAGCTTTTGTTATATTCCATACCTCTTTCAGGCAGCCGTATTTCCTGGATAAAAAAGCTGTTCCTGAAATTCTGCAAAAGCATGTACAATAGATTGAGAAAGAGAGAGAAAGAAAAAGAAAGAGAACAAACTTTTTTGGAGAAAATAGCAGCCAAACTCCTAAGTTGGTGTCTACCATTTGTTATGAATGGGAACTTTCTACCATGCAGGAACTCTGAACTCTGGACAATTAAATCTGTTATAGGAGGAAAGCCTTTCTGTTTTCCTTCTCCTTCTATTATACTTTATTTCCTTCTGATGCAGTTTGGTGTATGTTGGGGGCGATTTTGAGTATCATTGCCAAGGGTGGCTCAAAGCCACATATTCAAAATATGAAGGGAATTATATACTACTAAATGGAGATATAGAGATAGAAAATAAGGTTGGTAGATTTTTTTTATGCTAACTAATAACTAGAGCCATTCTCTTCTTTACTGGAAAATTTCTTCCAAAAAATATTCCAACTCTATTTTCTACTTGCTCGATCACCAGTTTGTGGCACAATATGACCTCAGGCCCAAGCAAACAATGTGATATGTTTCATTAGAATCTAGACTGAAGGCTAATGATTCCATTTAGCTTGGTCTAGGTCTTCTAGGTTTTCTAGCTCTACAGAAGTAAAAGCGCAAGATTTTGATTGTAATACATTCCTGACAGCATAAGGCAGGGGAACAGCCTCAGATTGGAAGTTGGGAGACAGGGTCTCCAGCGTCTGCTCATGTCTGCACCTTTGCTTCCCTTTCTGTCACTTTATTTAACAGGGCTTTGGGGAGGATCAAATGAGAGAGCATATGTGAACACGACTTCTCAAGTATGACATGCTCTACATTATTTCTACCATTACCGTTATTATTATTATATGTATTAGTTGTACAAAGAAGATACAATACTACTTTGAAAAGCTAAATAAAACTCAGCACATATTAAAAATCAGGAAGCCAAATGCACAGAGGCATCAATTTCTTAGACACCAAGGATCACGGCACCTGGTTTTCATATTTGAGCTTTGTCCATCTTTGAAAAATAAGGAACATCCCATATTGCTCCTAATATTTTGAGAGTTCTTTATTTCAAGAATAAAATATATGTAGCTTACTGCAGCAGAACTTTAGACCATATTTTGCAAATCCCTCTGTTTACTCTTATTTACACACCTTGGGGACTTCCTGAGTTCATCTGGTTTATGTTCTGTAAATCATATCAAAATGCAATGAATCCAGGCTACACTTTTCTATCCAAGTCATGAGGCAGAATTCCATGTATGCTGCCAAACCAATGCATAGCACAGACTGAGCCAACACAGGAGAAGGGGAGAAGTCCTGCCAAGTTCTAAAGAGGAGACTTTCTAGGAGGAAACAACCCCCTTCAAAAAAAGTAATGTGTCCACCTGTAGTGCACTAATGCCAGCTCAGTTCTTGCACTGACGTTAAGCATCATCTCACTGTGGCCAAAAGGAATGCATATCTGGTAAAATCAGATTTGGCCCAGTGTCAAGGTAGGTAAGATTCTACAGAGCCATGAGGAGAAGGGAAGATGTTTGTATGCATCTTTATTTCAACTGCCATTCAGGAGCTTCACAGATTTTCTTTCTTTCCTCCTCACCAACACAGCTTCAGCTCCATCTGTGGATATATTATTTCTCATGCATCTTCCCTGAGCCGTAGCTCTGTGTGTGTGTGTGTGTGTGTGTGTGCGCGCGCGCATGTGTGAATTTGTCCCTTGAATCTTCCCTGCTTTGGTACTGCTCACTGAATTCTTATCACTTCCCATGACTAGACTGAGCATCATGGTCAAGCTTAGGTCACTTGGTTTAGAATGCGATGTTTGTGGCTGGGGCAGATTCCTGGAAAAAGGAGTGTCTGGGCCACCCACCACTTTGTTTTCTTCAACATGGAAAAATTGGCTAAACAGTGTCATGGAAACACAGAGTTTGTACTAGCAGTCTTTGCCCTATAACAGTTTTTCTGGTTGTCTATATTGCATAAATAACCTCACTCAACCAGTCTTAGTTTCATCATCAAAGTAGGGGTTGAATTAATCACTCTGTGATACTAAAATACAGAAATATTTATGCACTCTAAGGCAAAGAAACAAAACACCTAGATCTGAAAAGGATGAATGAATGACTTGATGATTAATAATAGCATGGGTTCTTGGTCGAGCTCTGTAAGACAGAAAACCACCATAGTTTCTTCATCTGTAACATGGACATAAGGATACCTAAATAATTGTGCATTTTGTTCACTAGATGAAGTAAAGCATTAAAGCTCTTAAAATAGTGTCTGACAAATAGCAAACAATAAGTTACTAGTATTACTTTTTAATTATATGAGTAGACTGCACATTACGCTTCAGGTTGCCCAATTATATAAAAATGAGTGTTTGTGTAGGAAGACAGTTGAGAATAAGTAATAATCACTGACTTCACCACATTCATACTGCTTATTTAATTTAGTTTGCTAATGAGTTTGGTGGAGAGCCTCTATGGCTATAAATAAAATAAATTATTTATATTGGCACTTATTTGATTTACTTACTAAACTATTTGATACCTAATACTAAAAAACAAAAGCCCACTGGTACCTCTTGTATGTCAGCAGCTCGCACCTACTTTACAAATGAATTCAGGGTGTCAGTAGCTACACATCTTAATGAAATTGCCCATAATTCTGATTTGCTTACAAGTTTTCTCCTCTCTCACGGTTTCCCTTCCACCATTTGGGGAGCCCTCACGTATAAGCTCAGAGAGTGTAGGCATGTTTCTCACCATCACTGTGAAGGCTACTGACTCCTTTCCTGGTGCCAGAAGCCTTTCACGCTCCTTCTCAGGCTTGGCTCAGAGAATTCCAAGATCTCAACCAGGTTTGTATCCAAAGAGAAAACAGTGCTTCCGGAAAGTCTTGAAGCAGAGCAGAGAGACTCTCTGGGCTTTACCAGGCTGGGTGGGTGGTTAAATTGGAGGCGTACCGATCAGAAACAGAAATGAAGTACTGTGAAGGGATGAGAGCAGAAACAGAAAGCACATGCTCAAAGCAGAAGCTTGCCATTCAGGTTTGTGTCTTTGGAAATCTGACCTTCTAAGTTGTGTGCCATTTCCGTTTTTGTTGCTTTAGTCAGAGATCCTGAGACACTTTTCATTTGCAAAAGGGAAAAAAGGAAAAAGGGGGAATAGGATCTTTGCCGGCGTTCTATCAGACTGGGGTTTGTGTCAGAAAGCAGTTCTCTGTCAGGTATTGGATCTGTCAGGCTAGAACCCTACCCAGTCCGCTGGAAAGTTGTCCGGCCCCATTCAGGGCAGCTAGAGTGTTTCTGTCTGGGCTGTGTTCGCCTGAACAAGCACTGAGGAGAGACGCGGGAGACTGAAGAACAGATACACTTTTTGCTGGGAGGAAGAAAAATGCTGACTTTGTCAATGCAGTCAGTGACCTGTTGCTGCTTTGCAGTGTGGGGTTTGATACTACACTCTGAAGTCTCAGAATTACACTAATGGAATTGTAATAGATGATGGATTGCATAGTAGCACGTTAGACTGAAATCTCCTATGAAGGTGCGGTGGAAATTCCTGCATTGCAGTACATTGGATATTTTGTTAAATCTGTGCTGACAAAGAAAAAGGATGATAGTTCCCAAGAAGCAACATAGGTCCAGTCCCGCAAATTTTATTTAGGCTCATTTGCATCATAAATTTGTTCTTCATAGGGTTAGCTTTATTTCATTTCCAGGAGAAAGGTCAGCTTTCATTTTTACTTAATTATAAATTGGTTATCTAATTACAGCATTCTACAATGCAAGCTGCCCTTATTGAATCATGGATGATTTGTTGCTATGCATGGCTAAATTATGACATTTATGATTAATAAACACTTACAAGAAAAGTTTAAAGGAAAAAGTAAATATAAACTTCCCTTCTACAACAAGGCTGTCCAAGAAGCTCCAGAATATTTGATTTCGTCATTCTTTACCTGTAAACAGATAAGGAAGGCCCAAGGCTTAATTTTAGAGGTTGTGCCCTCCAAATTTGCATGGGTGTATTCTGTAAAAACACATCACCAAATTTGGGAAGAATATTTAAATCATTAGAATTCTGTTCAGAAAGCAAGGTTTTCAGATACTATCCTTTTATCCCAACTCCTTAGCTGAGCAAAAATCCTAACCCTCATAGTTTCATGGAAGTACACAAGTCAAAAAGCTTTTCTGTATAAGGAATTAACTTGGTAAATATATGTCTACAGGTTAAATCTTTTTTTTCTTTTTTAGTTACTTAGCTAAACCAAAATAAGCAGCAACTCTAACCCATGTATACTATTTCTACCAGATGAGAATTCAAATGAGTCAGAATAAACTTAGGAGGAACAACTACTTTTGAGTGCCTCCTCCTTTTAAATATTCTTCTGGGGTAAAGTGAATATGAGCAAAATCATTTCTACAGGAAGCCTCTTAAACACCTTTCACTACCGTAAAAAGGAGTGCTGGCTTTGCCATTGTTAAATGTAACTGCAAAATTCTACATTATTTTTTTCAAAAATGAACTAACGTGACTTTAGTAAAAAAGAACTTTAAGCAATGCAATTCGAGGCTCATAATTCAAAAGTGCACAGGACACGAAAGATGTTCCACTTAGGAACCCGTCAAGCATCAGTTCTCCTCTCCCCAAGTAAACCTTGTAAACAAATTTGTATGTCACCATCCAATTTTTATGCCTGTTGAAGAATAGGCCTATTGTGTAAATGCTTTGTATTTCTTAACACATGTACAAGATCACTCTACAAATATTGTATTGCAACTTGCTTTAATTTTCCCCAGTAACAGAAATGTCCTGGATGTCATTACATGAGTCACGTTGTTCTATGTCAGGCTTGTTACACTTCATAATACGCCCA